AACCCTCGAATGCTGTGTATTCAGGGGTCGCAATGGTTCAGCAAACGAGATCCAGTTTTCAATTTCAAACAATTCTTCGGTGATTATTGCACGGTCATTGCAGCAAATCGCTGCCGGATATTCGATCGGGGGAAACTAGCGACTACTGGATATCTCATCAGATTTTACTGCATGACACATCAATTCTGGAATTCATACCAGACTATTTCAGTAAAAATCGTATTACATTGACGGAAAATTGCGCGAAAAATTGGTATTTTTCTATTGCGTTATGTAATTTTTGGTGGGATTATCTGACAAAAAATTCTGACGGTTGAAACTTCGCGAATCGACATGCACGAATGAAATGAATCTGACGTGAATTTATTTTTTATTCCAGGCATCTACACGCTTCCGAAAAATATCGAACAAATTAAATTTTTCGTATTAAATTCATGTTCGTTAATTTTTTTTTTTTGTGCGCTGTGTTCAATTATTCAATTACGGGGACGTGTACATGAATCTGAACTGAGCGGGAATTTTAAAAAGTCGTTACAGTGGAGTGGGAACGGTGAAGATTTTACTTCATAAAGTTTTTGAATAAAATACGTACTAGCAGTGGAAAAATAAATTTAACAAGTTTATTGTACGCCGAGTGAATTCTTATGAAGGAAATGACGAATGGAAAAGGCCGGGGGCTGGTAAAGTTCAAGGTGTTTCCAGTCGTTGTAGAAAAAATGTCGCGCATAATTCTCCGAAGATTTTTTTTCTGATAATTAAAAAATTCACTACGCTTCTTGCAATTTGAATGAATAGGGAGGATAATTATCAACAGAACTTGGAATTGCTCTGCAGAGTTGAGATTCAGTCCAATTAACGGAATCGTTCACCCTGGCATTTTCAAATTTCCTCGTTATCTAAATTCCAATGAAAAGTTTGGTGCGACCTGCGATGCAAAATACCAGTAACATATGCAGAAAAAAAGTTGAGAATTTTTAAATTCAATCATCCGGTATTCCTTTCAATGATTTTAATCTGAAATCCCGCAAGTCTTTCCGTCGCGAATCCAATATCGGGAAATAATACCTGTGAATTTTCAATCCCGTGAAAATTAAATTGAAGTGGAAAATTTAAGATTCAATGGGAAAATCAATGACCGCTTGACACGAAA